GTGCTCATAGAGACACGCAACCTCTGCTGCACTCAGGAAGGTCACTGTGGCTGGTAGCTACATGGGCTCCCTGACAGGAACATGGCAATATTGACCTCTTATTGCAGGGCTGCAGGGGTAAGGCAAACAGGCAGTCATTGCCCCACCAGCAAGGTGTTGTCACACAGGCTGCTGTTGGCCAAGCGGCGGTACAGAGAGTCTTTAGGAGCCTGTGCCAAACCTGATTGCACAAGTCGGCACCTTTCTGTTTGCACGGGTGTGAACTGAAGTATAATAACGTACCAGACAGTGATGCAAGAATAAAGCTGGAACAAACCGCGGCTTTCATGACAAATGGGTCCAGTTCAGCCAGTAACCAGCGAGCTGGTTTAGTTCTTTAAGAAAGGAGTCAGAATAAGAACCTGCAGATTCTCTGACACTCCGGGATCGTGTTTGGACAGCACTACATTAGACAATGGATAATGTGTGTAGACATGTGGGGGACATTTATCACCCCATTTACTCCCATGTATTGCTTTCTCCAGAAACAGTTACATCTTCTTTTAATCTATATGTAATATTTAACGATCAATATGAATAATGGTGCTCCATAAAAGTGACAAGGTGCTGATTTTACCCTCCCAGATTGATTTAACAATGTAGATTTCTAACAACTGAGTGAACTGACTGAATCATTCAGAGGAAAACCAGGGTCCAAGGTAACACGACTGCAATTGAAATTCATTTGTAGTTTGAAAGCCACTTCACTCTTTCATTGCATCACTTTGGTACAGATCGTCCACTCATACAGCCAAGGCACACGAGTTAAAAACCCTACTCTTGTGAACAGTGCCAAGCAACCTTTAATGACCAATTGGTCAGCACTTCAGTTAAATGTCACATCTGGAAGACCACACCTCATACAACAAACAGTCTCAAATCACCAAAACTGGGGCATTGGTAAATTTAAAAATTACTTTAGCAATATTATTGGCACACATTTCTTTGTTTCACTATGTCTGGAAGGTGTGAGTCAGCATTAAAGTAACTTGTTAACTATGATAAATACCTTCGAGATAAAATCTCAAACACGCCATTTAATATTTGTAAACAGTCAATTTTCTTTTGTAAGTGTTAAAGTTTTCACAATATACAGGAGCAATACGTAAAACAAATGGAACAATGTAGTGTTTTATTAACTGCAAACAGATTAAACTGCAATCTCGTTACCTCTGGCTCAGGTCCGCCATACACAATCCAGTTCAGACAGGCTTATGCTGGACACAGGTCTCCCCATGTGAAACACAGTCGTAAATAAAAAAAAAAATCAATGCAAATGTTGGAGAAAATCGGGACAATCTGAAGAAGCCCAGGCAATTCACCATTAGCAGAAAAAGGAACACCTTGGGCTTTTATAAATACCTGTTGTTTACTCCTAAAGAAGGCAAACGCATTGTGAGCACAGACAATATAATATTCATTTTTAATGCTTAATTGAAATTTAAAGCACAGAATGTATGGAAACAGATTGTCTGTACTAGTGTACTTGACGGGATCAGAAGGACGGGTTTAGCACAGCTACAACAGTAACCGGTCGACTGTACATTTTTTAGTACCTGCCTCAAAATAAGTTCCGTGAAGTTGGCCATCCTACGAACAGCAGCTTCCAATCAGCTTGTTTGTGCTACACTGGTGCCGCTATGCGCCGCTGAAACCATCCAGGTTTCAACATCTCGTCTCCGCTGAAACACACCAAGCCCTCCAAGCGCTCCATGTTTACGGAAGTCGCGCTGTTTCTCTATGGTGTCCCGGCACTGCTGTTTGTGCGGCTGCGATTGGTTGTCTTGTCTCCACCTATGTCTCCAACATGCCTATTGGTCAGTTTTCAGAACCTTCTTTCAATTGGCAGTTATGAACAAAGGTTTTCACCCATTGGCTGTACGTGAGGCAGTTTCCCCCCCCCCCTCCGTCCGCTGTACAGTTATTGGTCGCTTTAACGTCATATTGAATGTGATTGGTTGAAGTGTCAGTTCCTGCTTAGGCGGGAAGTGTAATGCGATTTATTTGTAAGCTTTGAGGCACGTTTCTGAGACTGAGGTAATT